TAAGGTTGGAACTTGGTTGAAAAGCGGCACGAAAACGCATAGATTTTCCAAGCGTCAAACAAAATATCTATCGAAAGAGATTATTTTATCTCATAGTTTTGATACAAGCTAATTAGAGTGCGTAAATCACAAAAGAACGTATGTTTTTGAAGCGCAGTCACTCCAAAAACATTTAGAGCATCTGAAAAAAGTAGCGATCCTCTTTTTGAACTGCACTGGGTTCAGTGTGTAGCAGATATGTCAGACTTTGTTACTGTAACTCTACAAAAAATTTGGACTCAAATGATTGCAATCTTGAATGGAAAGTGGATCTTTGTTTGAGGTGTTCGTATAATTATGAACCGCTAAAAATTCGCATTAGGCGCAAAAACGCTCCTAAGATTGACATCTATTTCCATTCTTATGGATCATATACCGTTTTCGGCTGTGTTCTATCGCGTGGTAAACGGCTTTTTGAGTTTCTTCCAAAAAGTCCAAAAACTTTCAAAATTTGAGGTGTTCGTATAATTATGAACCGCACTTTAGGCAAAAGATGCACTTCCTGATAAATTTCCTGTTTAAACTACGAAATATTCCAAATACTACGTGAACCATTTACCATTGTCTTTATCCTTTCCGTCGTGACGGAACTAGGGTAATTCAATTCCAGGTATATGCTTTGGAATAAAAATAAAATTGATTCCCTATAACCGAACAATAGAGAAAAAAACTAACATCGTCAGAGGTACTCGCTCGCATTACTGTAAGTTTATAATCAAATCTGTTGATTGTGCACTTGAACACTTTGAGTTCGAAGAATCTTAAAAGAAATCACTTTCGTTCCATTTCCCACGGCCGCCGGGATTGGTCGAATTAGAAATACAGGGAAATCGGGTGGGTGGTAGAGGGGGGGATGAGGTTAGTTAAAGGGAAAGGAAAGGGACAGAGAAAAAAAATTGATTCCCTTTTTTGAGGTGAAAAATTTTCAACCTAAATTTAGGAGAATCTCCCCGGGACCTCCATGTCAGGAACAAGGGGTGATCGGAACCCTTGCCTGAGGGTGTCTAGCGGTATACGGTAGTACAATGTCTGTTAATAATATTTATTGTATAAGATGTTTACATAGTACAAAGGGGGGCTGGGTGAGAGACGGGGCTGGTGGCAGCCAGCTAATTCCACGTTGGAGTCAGCTTTGCGGTGCTCCATGATCCTCCTCCGAGCGATGTCTCACGTAAACCACATGCTGACAGGATGAGTGAGTGGCGTGGGCGATCGATGAAGAGGGACCCGGCAAAACCCATTTTCTATGTTGGGATGCAGCTAGTTAGAACAGCTGCTCGAGAAGGAGGTTGGCCGATGACAGCCAACCTCTGGCAGTGATCTCCGGCTGCCGGCACTCGCCGGTGGCCTGTCCTTTCCCTTTTCCCCTTTTGTACATAATCATAATAAATTTATAGTAGAACCTACGTAAGCCCGCTACTCATCAGGCAAGGGAATCGCGAACCCTTATACCTGACATGGCAGTCCTAGGAAGACTCTCTTTTGTACTGAGCAATGGTCATTTTGTTTGAAAAAATAGAATACATTCCTCTCGTCTACCGACAGCAAGTTCCACCCGCGTCACGGCAAACGTATGAATGGGTTTTTGATACCCATTCAATAATATAATCAATTAATAGTGTGCTGTGATTGAAAAAAAACTTTCTGTTGAAGGAAAACTAATATTCCAGGAAAAGGTACCGAATAAAAATTGCATTCACCATTCCCTTTCCCACTTTTGTACATAATCTTGTATAATAATTATTATAGTGAAACCTATGCAAGCCCGCTACACATCAGGTAAGAATATCGCGAACCCTCGCGAACCAGACATCTAGAAAGTTTCCCTTCCCCTTCAAACGCAGGTTGTATGTGTCGGGGACAAGTTATCGCTCCTGTCCCTCGCATGTCAAGCCTGCGTGAGGCAGGTGATACGTGGCTGGAGCCAGGATAAAAGGAGAGCCCTCCGGCTCTTAAGGACGACGACCTTGGAGCTGACTGCATCGTCGCAGCTCAACTCCCTTCCCCTTTTCCCCTCCCCTTTTATTTATCGTATATAATAGTTGTCATGAGATCATTTCATCAGATTGCATAACATTGGGTAATATTGAGTAACATCACATCACTTGTTATGCAATGTCTCACCCCGTCCTAACCGCTGTTGTTGTTGTAAGGCGGACTTGCATATAAGAGAGGACTGGAGACCATCAGGGACACTCACACACACCCCTTCCCCTCCCCCTACCTATATTGTTTAGTTTTTGTATCTTTAGTAATAAACATATATAATCACTATGCTTGACACACCGTAACACCGCTACACCTTCAGGCAAGGATCCAGCTACCCCTCGTTCCTGACATGGAGGTCCCGAGGAGATTAGATCGTGAGTTTGCTTAATTACTCAAAAAAATAATTTTTATATATATTGTGAAGGAAATGAGGGATCAAATGATCCGAACAGTATGAATGGTGCTGTAATTTTCCTTATCATGATCTTGCTTATCTTATCTGTAATTACGATCTGGTATTGTGTATTTGCAAGCATCAGGCACGTGGTGGCATGCGTATCTTCTCGGCCGCTATATAAAGCGGTTCCGCTCGCTTACCTAGCGTGCGGATCAATCAAGGAGCCGAGCCGAGAGGAAACGCTGCCACCGAGCGCCTGGAGGAGGATCTCCAATAAAAGGATTGCAACACACCCCTGGGCACCACGCCGAGTCCCCGCGATAGCGCCTAGAGTAGGCCAACTATTGCGTGACTTGGGGGCCGAACCGGGAGGGGCCCTATCAGGTGTTGGACACCAGCAGCAATAGCGCGCTGATACACTCATAGTGCGAATAAAGAGCCTGTTAGAAAGCCTTTTGACCTGCTGAGAAAACTGCCCCGGGGAATATCCGATAAACCCCTTAGAACTAGAAAGAGTAGGGGAAAAAGGGGACGCCCGCGCAAGAAACCCACATCTGATCCAGTAATGTGTGGCTCAACTTACTATTGCAGGACGCTGATCGAGGCCAACGATCCACTTCATCTTCGATTTCGATGTGAATGCGGCCTCTTTGGACAAATGGTCCACGTCGCGCTGCCTGGCCTAACACACCATGGCCCGATCGAAGAAAGTAATGGACATGTTCCAGTTAGCCAATGTCGCGTCCATCTCAGAGGAGCAATGTTGGGGCGACGAGAAGAAGGAGACTGAATTGAGGAGGAAAAACTCACAGTTTATCACCTCCTATGGATTGGCGCTGGCCATGGATGGACATCGCCGTCGTTGCCAATTATATGCCGAGAGGCTCGCCGCCGCGAAGGGGGTACGTTACGAACACCCCGCAATTTTTCCGTGGGCAGTGCAGTACAATTTGAGTGAAATTGTCATGGAAGCTATCACTATGCTGGAGCAGCTGGAACCTCCAGCCCCTGCAAGAAGTACAGAGAGAGACGTCTTCATTGCAGTGCCGGTGGCCCTCACAAAGGTAAATGCCGAGATCGGATATGAGTGATAGTGTAAACAGTGATAATATCACTGTTTACATCTACACGGATTTCGGCACACTCGCTAATAAGCTACTGAACCAAGGACGATGCCCGAGAGCCGGCCCATGAGGCAACTTCTCATCAGCCTGGAAAGACATCTAGCCGACGGAGGGGCGCTCGCATTTTTCCCGTTCCCATACGAGGATTCTAATGCAGCCGAATGGAGAAGAATGGGCGAAGTGTATACAGAATTCACGCGCTACATCACGGACCCCCGGAGAAACTTCGAAGCTTTGGTACGAGATCATTATTCGGATGTATTAGACGCTGCCCCCCACACCCATCCCGCGGTCTGCTTGGGTACCACACCCCGACGCAACTCCACTTCGACCTTAACGGACAAGCAGATGTTGCTGTTCCTTGAAAAGATGCGCATCACCATTTCCGACCTCAAACGTCTCCCTGAGTTCAACTTCGCATCAACTCAGCTGAGGGAACAGCGGGCTCGCGAGAAAGCGCGCGCTAAGAAGCGTCGTAGGGAAGAGAGGATGCCCAATTTCTGGGTCATCGAAGACCCGCAGAGGAAGCGCCATCAGCAGCCCATAACGTTCCATCCCCACCTACCAACAGCCGACATGCCAGCCCCCCACGCCGCCGTGAAGGATCCGGCAGCCATCGTCGTAGTCCGCCACGCCACCTCGAGAGATTTCCCCGCCGTGGAGACGACTATCCCACCAGGAGTCACAGAGCGAGCCCAGAACAGGGACCATCATACCGCCGCCAAGTCGAGCCAGAGTCTAGCCATCACGCTGTGAGCCCCACGTTGCCACGCCGCTCTCACTCCCATATTCGTGTACGCAGTGGAAGCCGTCGCCCACTTGGTCGCCCGCCGCTTGAAAACCGTGGTCCCGTTCCACGTCAACAACCTCAAAGTCGGGACGACTCTCGCCGTCGCCGAGGCATGTGAAGGAAATGAGGGATCAAATGATCCGAACAGTTTAAATGGTGTTGTAATTTTCCTTATCATGATCTTGCTTATCTTATCTGTAATTACGATCTGGTATTGTGTATTTGCAAGCATCAGGCACGTGGCGGCATGCTATCTTCTCGGCCGCTATATAAAGCGGTTCCGCTCGGCTAAAATCACTTTTGTCTGAGGGTTACCTAGCGTGCGGATCAATCAAGGAGCCGAGCCGAGAGGAAACGCTGCCAACGAGCGCCTGGAGGAGGATCTTCAATAAAAGGATTGCAACACACCCCTGGACACCACGCCGAGCCCCCGCGATAGCGCCTAGAGTAGGCCAACTATTGCGTGACTATATATATTTTTCTCTTTTAGTCTTGGGCAGAGAAGTTAGAGGCTGACTTAGCCAAAACGACAGCTGAGTTGGAAGTCGCCAGGGGTGAGATTGAGAAACTGGAGCACCCACCATCGTGCTCAAAGTGTGCTGAGCTTCAAAAAAATTATGAAGAGTGCCAAGTGCACTTTAGAATAATAGTTGCAAAAAATATGTGCGAGACAGAGGCCGCTGAAAAGGCCCGAGTTGTGGAACGGAGAAGGAATATGAAGTTGAATAAGGTAATGCTGAGAAATTGTGATGCTATATATAAGCGTTTGTTTTCTAGGAGGTTCTCGAGCTGAACGAGGATCTCCACAACGTTAGGCGTCTATTTCTGTACAATGAAGAGCTTATACGCCAACCTCAAACACTACTGGAGGAGGCGCAAGATAATACAAGCTCTTTGCGGAAGAGCTTGTATTATCTTGTTTGATTAGGGGGGAAGTGCGAGAGACTTGGTTGAAGATTCAATGGAATAACACGGTTCAGGTTGCCGTCATGATTTTAAACAATGTTGGTGAACATATTACGCTTTCCTGTAAATTAGAGAGAGAAGAAAAAAATTCTTTTTATTAGTCATGGTAATTTATTTTACTAAAGGTGTTCTACATAATGTGCTTAGTGAAGAGTTCAATGTGTGTAATGGAGCGAACTGGAAGGCGGACAGGACCTTCATAATTCTACACTTCGGCGACGTAATTACGAAAAATGGTGAAAAGTTGGCGCTGGACGAGCCTTCGTGGAAACGGTTGCAAGAGGTACCACCAACTCACTTTTGCTAGTTAATGTGGCCGATAATGGCTTGACTGCCCGACTTAGTGAGAAACGTAGCCGGCTTTAATTTGTACAATAATCAATGTTTGGCAGTAGCGTGGATGTGTGAATGTATTGCTCAATAAAGGAAATTTGTAAAGGTGTATTGTTTTGATGATTGTTTTTAACGAAGCAGGAAATTTGTTCGTATTGAATTTGATTGTTGGTTGTTAGAGTTTGGGAAGAAATGTGTATAGCTAGTAACTCGTCTGGAAAAGTCTGGTCATTAATTGTGAGTGGTCATCCAGATATTTTGGTGTTTACGGCCATATGTTCGGAACTTGAGTAATGCTATTCTAAAGTGGCAAAGCAGGAAAAGGTCGCAGCTGCGCCAACAGCTCACCTAATCCCACCTCCACCATGTTCAAAACGCTAGCTGAACGACCGCTCAACGACAACCACCATCAGTATCTTAACCAGTCTGTTAAGACGCTCGAGGACGAGCTTTCTGTAGGAGCGGAGATGTCATGAGATCATTTCATCAGATTGCATAACATTGGGTAATATTAAGTAACATCACATCACTTGTTATGCAATGTCTTACCCCGCTCTAACCGCTGTTATTGTTGTAAGGCGGACCTGCATATAAGAGAGGACTGGAGACCATCAGGGACACTCACACACACTCCTTCCGCTCCCGCTACCTCTATTGTTTAGTTTTTGTATCTTTAGTAATAAACATATATAATCACTATGTTTGACACACCGTAACACCGCTACACCTTCAGGCAAGAGTCCAGCTACCCCTTGTTCCTGACATAGTATAACATAGTATATATAATATATAATATTTATATAACACCTCTCCTATACTCATATCAACATCACATGTAAGGGCCTAGCTAACTCTTATCCTGACATGGAGGTCCGGGAAGATTATCTCATTTATAAAATCATTGCTTGAAATTTTTTTTAGGAAATCAGCGAACTTAATGGGGACGTATATATGTTCAAAGCTTTGTTCTCTGCCATCAATGGGACCCGTCGCCCGACTCACCTGGAGGAGCCTTGGATCTCCGAGGAACAAATCCTCTCGATGCTGCTGCGCAGAGGAGTGCGCAAGACAATTATTTCTATTCAAAAGAACCGTTCCTCATAATGGAGGTCAAGAGCCTCACGACACCAGCGGGAACCATCACTGCCACATGTATTAGGTTGTCAAGAAAATAATGTCCGTTTTTATTTGCTTGCTTTAACAAAGCAACCAGACTCAACCCAACAAAGGGTAAGGGGTACTGTTTGATAGAGCAAAGCAAGCTCTACAAGATGGCACTCATGTCTTTGCGCCATGCTCGATCCACGGAGAGTTCGAACTCAAAATCTAAATATTTCCAAATGCCCAAAAAATCGAAAAAAATCAGATCTTCGTCCAAATAATTTCTACGGACCTCCCACTCGCTCACATCAAAACTATCGATATCTGATATCCATATGTGCGATTGTCGTATTTTTTCCTTGACTAGAAACTGAGAAAACAAAAATCCCCTGATTTTCTCAAAGCAATGCTGAGCCGTTTTTGCATATGTAGTTCTATACTACAAGCCCAGGTAAGCATAATTGTAGGTTTTCAGCCTATTTCGAGCGGTACTTTTCGAGAAATGTTGATTTTAGCACTGAAACTGAAACGAAAAAATCCGAATTCGTTATTTTTCGAAAAGTACCGCTTGGAATGGGCTGAAAATCTACAGTTACACTTAACCAGGCTTGTAGTATAGAACTACATACCCTCGACGTCAATCCCTAAGTTACATTTGCAAAGTAGAGTGTTGTGGTGCGGCCGCCTTGCTTTGGGCTCGCGCCACCTTGCGAGCGCATGAGTTGGCATGGCGTGGCAACAGGCGCAACGAAGAAACGTTGTTCTTGTTGCCACATTTGAACGTGTTGTGGCGCCACGTTGTTTTTAGCGCCACATCATGTTTAAACGATGCCCCAGCAACGTGGCGCGAGCGCAAAGCGAGGCGGCTGCACCACACCACTTCACTTTGCAAATGTAACTTAGGGATTGATGTCGAGGGTATGCAAAAACGGCTCAGCATTGCTTTGAGAAAATCAGGGAAATTTTCGTTTTCTCAGTTTCTAGTCAAGGAAAAAATACGGCAATCGCACATATGGATATCAGATATCGATAGTATTGATGTGAGCGAGAGTGAGGTCCGTAGAAATTATTTGGATGAAGATCTGATTTTTTTCGATTTTTTGGGCATTTGGAAATCTTTAGATTTTGAGTTCGAACTCTCGGTGGATCGAGCAAGGCGCAAAATCATGGATGCCATCTTGTAGAGCTTGCTTTGCTCTATCGAACAATACCCATCAACCTTTGTTGGGTTGAGTCTGGATGCTTTGTTAAAGCAAGCAAATAAGAAACGACATTATTTTCTTGACAACCTAATAATTCAAAAAAAGTTTTTTTCAGCATTGCCTTACTCTTATGCATTAGAAAGAGAGAAAAAAATTGATTTACGCAACCTACACTACTGTGTAGGTTTTCTATACAAAATCGACGGCGAAGATGGTGAACGCTGGAGAGGGACCGGAAATGCTTGAAATAGCATTACGGCGAGCTGTATGTGGTGAATTACGGTCACAAAGTGCCATTGGGAAAATTTTGGAGGATGCCTTCATCAATGGGACAACCACAGCAGCAAATATACACAATATTAGCGGAGGAAAGCGATTGCGCAGACGTCTGGAGTCCATTGCCGGAAGAAATGAGCAATAATGGAAGCATTACCCTATCTAACCTGTATTGTTAGCTGTGTTTTTTTTTGATATTAAAAATATTTAACTAGAGTGTGTTGTATGAAAATAACGAAAATTGGGAAAAAGAAAGAATTGGAAAAAACAGTATTCCATTTGTCTATATACTTGCGAAAAAATAGGGAGAAATTCTAGAATAGAAATGGGAAATTCTAAAACAGAAATGACTTAATTTAGTTGCCTTCATATCTCTCAGTTCTTATGAGATTTCACAATCTAGATTACGGTAGTTGTCCCTTCGTCATTCGACTGCGCGATTAGTGATGGTGAAATGCGCGGCGCTATGGTCATCAATATGGGCGTAAAGATTCGTGCTCCTTTCTCACCTCGCGGCCAACTGCTTGCTATTTATGTATCTCGGCTGGCGGCTAGCCTACGAAGAACAATACCTCGGTGTTTTGATTGCAAGCAGGGTACTCGTCTAAATCCCGATAAAGTCGCTAGTATAGTTAATATACCAACACCACAGGATACTAAGGCCATCAAGTCATTCCTTGGCGCTGCCTTATATTTTCGCAGATTCACCCCGCGATTTTCTTTCATTGCTACCCCTCTTACCAACCTTTTGCTCAAAGACGCTCCACTTACATGAACTGATGAGCACGAGCGAGCGCGTTTTGAATACTCAAGCGCGCCATAGTCGCAGCGCCACTTCTTGTCCCTCCGACCTTGGGACAACCCTACATTATACACACTGATGCTTCAATTGGAGTTGGGGCATGTTTGCTACAGTCAAATCCAGAAACTTCCCAAGAGCACCCCATCGCCTACTGTAGCCGCCTTCTCACTAAACACGAGAAAAACTACGCAGTTATAGAAATAGAAGCGTTAGCCATCGTATTCGCTTTGCGACATTTTTACCCGTACGTTGCTAATGCCTCGATCACATTGGTGACCGATCATGCACCGCTTAAATCGCTGATGCATAGATCTGATTTGGTTGGACGGCTTGCTAAATATCAAATTAGTATCCAAGCCTACGACCTAAAAATAGATTATCGCGCAGGAAAGCATGATACACTTTCCGACTTTCTTAACCCTACCCAGTAGTTAGCACAAATGCCATACAAGCATCTTCTCTGCCAACTTTAGACGAAATCCGCCAAACTCAAATGCAGTCAGTGTACAGCGTCGTTTCAAAGTTTTTGAGAGGAGAACAGGACACTCTCTCGGAGGAATTTTTACATCCTAGACAAATACGTGATTTTCATTGGCTGTGTTTATACAAAATCGAAGAAAGCACCGCAATTGTTCGTTCCTGATAGCGAGATGCAAACTAAAATTATTTAAATCTTTCGTAATACTCCACTTTTGGGTTCTCATCTCGGTGCCAGGAAAACGTTCCGAGCAATTGAGGCAATGTAATTTTGGCCAAAAATGTTCGACCACGTAATGAAATACCTAACGATATGTGCTGTTTGTCAGATAATTAAGACTCCATCCGGTCATATAATACGTGAAGAGCTCGGATCCTTTCCCTTAACGCCCTTTTGAGCTTCTACATACCGACGTTGTAGGACCTCTTCCGCTGTGCATTTACGGAAACAAATTTATTTCGATGACAATTTGTGCATTTAGCAAATTGGTAATCTGCACTCCTATTCCAAGTCAATCACAGAAACTGCCGTAAAAGCTTAAATCAACGTCATTTCAAAATATGGCATTCCCAACGAAATCGTTTCCAATCAAGGATCTTACACCAGCGATATTTTTGCATAAATCATGTCTTCATCTCACACTCGTTCACCATTAGTTATAACCATAAGGCGAACGGACAAGTTGAACGGTTGGTAAGAGTAATCATCCACTCCCTTACAGCTTACTGTTCCGAAGCGCGAGACCTATGGTCCGATTTCCTGCAAC